AAAAATTGCAAATTTAACAACGGAATTTGAAACGAGTTTTAATGATTTTAGTTCCCTCCTTAAAGACAAATTTTTTTGATTCCTTAAAGACAAATTTTTTTTTGTTTTCTTCGATTTTCTCAATAAGTATTGACTCAGTACCCAGCCATATGCAAATGAAGGTGATCGAGATTCAATGCAACTCAAATTTGAAAGCAAAATTCATTGAAGTGAGCGTGCCTGAATTTTACAAATATTTACCAGCCAGGTTTGAAAATACTCGAAAATTCGCATATGAAATTATTTTCATGTTTGGTAGCACTTATCGGTGCGAGCAGTTATTTTCAGTCATGAAAGGTAATAAGTCTCCTATTAGAAACTGTATTAATGATGCTCACCTTGGGTCAGCATTGAAAGTTATCACTGCAAACAAAATTTCTCCCGAAATAGGAAAGATAATAGCAGAGAAGACATGTCAAGTATCAGGACATAAACATTAAATTTTTCTTGTTCTTTTCTGTATATATATGTTTATTATTGTATTATTCGAATTAAATCTACGTTTCTATGAATATTGATTTTTTTTTTTTTTTTTTGCGGCCCGCCTAAAGTTAAACCTTGTTTGTTTGGCCCAAGTGTACCTATGAGTTTGACATCCCTGCTTTAGATCATAATTGCTTATTATTTTATAAATTACGGTTTCATATTTTTTAATTTTACAATTTCTGCATGCCATCTTACCAGATTTAAACTGATGATCTATAATCCGGAAAAATCGATTTTCCGGAATCGCCAAAGTCCCGACGAGTCCGGATTAAAGACTTTTGACTGTATTCGATTTCGAGGGCTGTAAAAAAATTGCAATGAAAATGTATGTGCAAAAGCGCCAAATCTAGCAAACGCGGCCATTTAACAGAGCGCCAAGTCTAGTGTATGCGCTGATTTCAGATTGCGTAAGTTTATATAGTTCTATATTTCTTAAGACGCCATTGAAATACTAGTTTAATTTTTAAATCCTTTTTTGATATCCTATGGATTTAACAATTTGGGAATCGCCCATGACGAAAACTCGGCAATAGAATTTTGGGTAAAGTGCAGAATCACCCACTGCTTGACGCGTTTTTAAGAATTGCACGTACTCGGTATCCATGTGCACATCGACCTATATTCACTTAAAAAAAAAATCCTAGAATTGCACAAAAATGACACTGGGCACACCATTGACTTTATCTATGTACACATCGACTTATTTTCACTTAAAAAGTAAAAGAAAATTGACAAAAATCCAATTGCTTTTACTCTTGTAAAAAGCAGCAAACAAATAAGTGAGCGATTCTGCCCTTTACCGAGAATATTTTCAAAGAAAAGGCATCATTCATTATAGAAAATTACGTTTGAACAACCAACGAGATGAAATTATGCTTTAGCGATAAGTCGGTAGCGAAATAACGATGCAGGCATCCATTCAGTTTTGTTTAGCAATTTTTATATAAATTATAATAATGATCTGAAATAGTAGTTACTCTTATGCTTCCATTCAATCATGTTTAGCCTTTTTCATATAAATTATAATAATAAAAATGTATTATATGAAATTAACCTTTCATCTAAATTAAAACATCAATCTTAAATAATTATTTACTATTATACTTCCTTTCTTGCTGCAATTATTAGGGTTGCCGCAATTATTTTTGGCAGCATTGGCATCAACAATAGTTTGGCGATTTTTTACGGCCCTCGAAACCGAATAGTACCAATAAAATTCAGGGGAGTTACGTATTAACGCTACAGCAGCTGCAGATTTGGCAATTTTTAAGTGCCGCCAATCTACACCTAAAATTTTTGCGACAAATCATAAATTAAAACACTTTATTTAAAATCAAAGTAGTCAATCGGATTTCAGTGGAAAAGGGGCCGATATTGAGTTTAACATAGATTCAAAACAGTCTCTATTTTCTTTGACGTGATGTTGTCGCCATATGAACTTTGCTAAATAAGATTCTAAATGATGTCTCGCTGCTCTTGTTCCTCCATTTAGCACTGCCCCACATTTCCTCAATTGTTTGTATATGAACTCCTGTATCAGGCTCAATAAAATTGTATTTATAATTAACTTTAGCATGTAGGAATCCTTCTTTTTCTATTCTATTTGTTTGGTAACCTTTCCAACTGTCAGAATAAATTGTGCTACCATCTGTAATGTTTTCAATAATTTTATTAAGAAAGGTAGAGCCAGTTTTATTAGGAAGTGACAACAAACAAATCTCTTGTCTCTCTACATATAGCACTAAACATGCACTGTTCGGGTAATACTCAATCACAATTATTTTTACGTTTAGCAAACAAACTTTCATCAATTTCCATAATGCAAGCTGGTCCTTCCACCTACTTATGGTTATCTTGGATATGGTTTATTCGCCATATCCAAGACACATAATTCATTCATATAATTGTTCCATTCTGTAACAGTTTTATCCGATAAATCAAGTTGCTTTTCACAAAATTTAATCGACGTCAACTCCTCACACCAGCAGTATATGAATCTTAAAGCTGAACAAAATGGAATTCTGCTTCCTTCAAACCTGTTGTCTTTTCTAAGTCCCACTTGCCGATCACACTGTCTTAAATTACATTTCCAAAATGTATGTTTACTAAAATAAAGTTTCATATCATACAAATTGGTACATTTTCGTTTTTTGGTAAAATATTTTGTTTCTGAAAAAATAAAATTGCATCTTCTTCTGTGTTTGGCAAATCCCAAAGACGCATCTTCGTAGCGCTAAAAAATGGCATAAAAATCAACAAACGACAAGACAAAAATGGAATCTGAAACATAACTGTGTGCAAAAAACAGAATTGCTTTTTATTGGCACATTGGTGCAACTTCCGCTGTAGTGGCGTTAATATTTAAGTACCAGATTCAGTAACCGGTGTCATTTCTATACAATTTCATGAATTAGAAGAAGTTTGAATAATTGTTTTTAAAAGGCTTTTAATTTCTAAATAAAGGACATTTGGCATTTTTTCTGAACTTGAAAAAGACAAGGACAGGAAATCTGATTAAAGGACAATTCTTTCAGGTAAAGGATGTTTGGCTACTTGACACACAGTCTACACGGCTGTGTACTTCACACAAACCCTGCATGAGTTTCCACAGTTGATGACTTTCTTTATCACTTGGTTTTAGCATACCACCACTAATTTCTTCTCTTTTTGGCTCATGTGTATGCTAACTGGACCAGTAAGAGTTGGAAAAGTGTGTATTCTTTGATGAATAAGAATTTTTACCATATGCAGTCTTTTGTGTATGATCATTGGTTTTTATTACATTTGACAATGATAACATTAGTGATTGAAAGTCTTTATAGTTACTGCCATCTTGTTCAGCAATCAAAATCTAAAACAAATCTTTTTTCAACTTGATATAGGCTACTCCGTGTGAGAAATGTTTTAGTGCTACAGGTGTCCTGATTATTCAATCTAAACATATGGTGACCTGGTTGGATGACAAGGAGAATGAGACGTACAGCATTTAAAACTGACAAAATACAATCATTTTAAAAATTGCATACTGGTAACTTGGACAAAACTATATACAGTCAAAAGTCGTTAATTCGGGCACCCATAATCCAGAATGATAAATAATCCGGACCTTAAAGCTAAAAACTTTCTACGGATGCGCCGCGTTGACACATGCGCATAGGCGTTTACGCGTGCGCGTAAGACCTTTTACCACTGCGCATATGCGTGTGCGCAAGCGCAGAATACGTTTTCGCGTGCGCCTTTTATGTATAACGGACAGTATAATCTAAAATTATCTAATTATCTATTTCAGTTAATGTTGATGATTGCGTTGTTCCTTAATCTTCGAATTGGATCCGACTTATTATTTTTTGCAGACTGTAAGAGCAATTTTATAAAAGTAAACTTGAACTTTCGATTATGTCAAATAGAATTTCCGATTCTGGAGCTCCCAAAGGATTGTACAAAATGAAAGTATGTTTCGATGTCCATCAAACAGAAAGTGGAATTGCTGCGAAAAATGGATAAAGACATGAAGAATGTGACAGAGAGGTTAGTGAAAACGAAAAAATTTCGATTGACAAGTTAGTCAGTATTCTCGCACAGCAATTACGGGACTTGAACAGCGGAACTTTGTAACTGAACAAGAAATTATGTCTGTTTATAGAATTAAAGAGAAAGTATTATCACATAAAACGAAGCAACTTAAATTAACTTACATTGAAAGAAATTTTAATAAAGTAAACAAATAAATATTAAGCTTTTTTTTTTTTTTTTTTTTTTTTGTAAATTTTGATACCCTTTAGATTATAATTGTTCTTTATTTCATAAATTAAGGTTTCATATTTTTAATTTTAGAATTTCTGCATGCCATATTACGAGATTTAAACTGATGATCTATAATCCGGAATCGCCGAAGTCCCAACGAGTCCGGATTAACGACTTTTGACTGTACTGCATGTGCTGCAAAGAACAACCAAACTAGATGAAAAATAGTTTGATGTTTTGCCGTTGGTAGATCTTGTAGTTTCTCCAGGAATAAAAACTCTGTTAATGAAATTTACTTCAGCTGCCCCTTATATTTCAACACTATCACAGAAATGGAGAACAAAGCATCAACTCATTGGCAAATACAACTCGGTACTGAGGTCAACGTACTGTGCATGTGCAGACCACTGACCTATTACTGTGAGTGTAATGACTGTCACTCAGAGTAATAGAATCTAAGTCAACACTGAAGCATGAGCTCTGTTTATGTGTATCCTCGATATTTTGTAATTTTTAATAGATTTTTTGCACTGCCGGTTTGGTCAGAATAAATAGAAGATCGGATGATTGGGACTGTATTACGTTATAATATCCTGTAAAGTGCATTTCTTTAAGTTGAAATAATTTCCGATTCTTACTGTTAAATATGTAGTTTCATTGAAATCATATAAATTATATATAGTTGACTTATCTACAAGCATGACTAATATTCTTTTTTTATTCTTATCTAGAATTGACATAAAATAATATGGGAAAACTTTTCTTGAGACATATTGGAGGTTCACGCCTATTTCTGTGTGCTAGTTGCGATACGGTTTTAACTAATCGCAGTGAATTGATTAGTACCAGGTTTACTGGAGCAACAGGCCGGGCTTTTTTGTTCAACAGAGTCGTCAATCTTGTCTATAGGTATTTCTTATTATTCTGTAATTATATCATTTTAATTCTGTAATTATATTGTTTTATCAAATAATTTATACTTATAAAATGAGGTATCTTAAATTTAGATATGGCATATTATTTTCTAAATAGAAAAAATAGATAACCAAAATAAATACCATATTTTTTTGCATATGTTCTCAACATTTTAGCTCCACATTCTGAAAATTTTAAAAATAATTGCATGATCTTTCCCTTCATGTGTTGTACATAATTTTTCCATCTGAGGACTAGTTCATTGGTAAATTGTATCCCTTTGATTACTTTAATTTTTGTTCAATATATTCATTTGTAAAGACAGAAGAGAAGCACACCTCAAATGTTGTTGCTGATGTTCACTTGTCTGATGTATAGTCAGCCCAAGCCCATGAAATTCCTTGTGGCTTGGAAGACAAGATTATGCCTACCGTTGGCAACAAGCTTGAGCACCCTACAGCCGACAATGTGATTTAGCTTATTTCCGCCATAAATTTTGATGGAGAGCACCCCCCCCCCCCGGAGAATGGGTCCAAGGTAAAGTGACCACATATTCATTGAGACAAAGCGGGACAAATAGAATGAATTTAGAATTTATTTATGAAAGCAGACCAATAATTCAAAAAAATGTGTTTTATTGTATATATTCATATAATTGCCTATAATTATACAAAACTATATTTATTATTAACTATTGGTAACTATAAAAATATTTGTAAAAAACAATAATTTGAATATTATGTTTTTTAATTAATTTAGCATTTTATTTTTAAAAATTATGATTTTCTTTCACGGTCATATTTTTTTATCCGAGTGACTACTTTGCAATAGACTCGTATCATGTATCAAAATGTTAAATTTCTCACATGAATTGGTCAAATTATATTTTAGGCTTAATACAGATTTTAAAGTTTTAATGTTCAACTGCGTTTTTTCATTTGTCCATATTTTATTGATACTAGAAAAACACGTTCTATTGCTGTATTTGTTTCTGAAAGGGAGATCGCTAGTTTTACAATTTTCAAAATATTTTCATAAGGAATATTATTCTGTTTAAAGTGAAGGGATAACTCCGTCCATTTTTTGTTTGTTTCCACATTTGCAGACAACAAAATTTAATTTTTTCATCTGTAATGTGTCTTCTTACCATCATCAGAAAGATCATTTTTGCAAATATTATTTTTCGGAAAATGGTTACAAATATATTAAAAAGATTTTTTCCACATATTCCCTTAAAATCTCCCTTTTTAATGTCACCCAATGAAAGTTTTTAATATCCTCGAATTGAACTGTCCATTCTTCAAGATATTCCAAGCAGTTATTATAAAAATTTCTGACTTCTTTCTGAAAATCAGATCGTTTAATGGCACCTTGTGCTTTCAGTCTAGTGATGTCCTTTCGAATAATTAAAAGAACGTAATCTTTATCAATTCTTTCTTGCAATTTTGTTTTTAAGTTGCTGATTTCATTTTACACTTCCATATTTGAAATTTTGTCCCCTTCAATAATTTCCACAGCATTGTGAAATAATGTAACTTGGTTGTGGATGAACTGAAGCCAAATTTGTGATGTGTCATTTTTGAAAAAGAGCGGCAATATTTTTGGACATTTACCTTGTAATAAAAAGAACGATTTTTGATGGTTCGTATATTTTAAAAATATTTTCTACAGCTGGTAAACGAGCTAGCCATCATGTTTTGCTGTAACCAATAATTATTTTATATTCGATTTCTGCGCTTTCATAAAAATCCTTCAAACTTTCAACACATACAGTATATATATATAAATATGAATAAAAGTTTTCAATAATATTTTCAACATCTATTGGAAGTAAGTCAGATGCTGTTTGAATAATATTGTGCAGAATGTGTGCTGCACAACCTACTCGAATAATTTTTTTTGTTTAAACGTTCGCTAAGTTTCGTAAAAATGATATTGATGCTTCTTCTAGCTTTTCCACCAAAATTTTCGTTAGTATTATCCTCACAAAGGTAATAATGTTATTGTTCATATTATTCTTTCTTAAAATAGTACTTGTTGAATCAAAAATTATTTATGAAGTTTCACCTGGCAATGAAAAAAATATTCAGATTTTAATTCCTGTTTCTGGATCAAAAAGCCTAACAAATGTGGGAAATAATTTTAAATCTTTGTGGTTGGAAGCATCATAATATATGGATATAAATGTGCATTTAATCTAATTCTTTTTACAATTGTGAAAATGAATATGGTAAAAAAACATTACAAATAGTTGCTTCGGTTTTTGTCCTTGCACATGCAAATTTTTTGTTGTACAATGTTTTAATCATTTGCGAACGTACAATCAATTGATTTGAAACTTTGATGTTTATGGTGTGGAAAGCAAATAGCTTCAGCTAATGCTAGCTGTTTCTCCATTAACAATACAAATTACTGGACGAGACGTAACGACAATGATCGAACACCACCGTGTAAATCTAACTAGTTACATCGCCTAATTTAGTTTATACTGCATGCATTTTTGTGTTTTTTTAATTTTTTATTCACTATAATAATAATAAATAATAGTAATATATTTTTTACAGCACATTTAAAATAAAAAATGTAGATGTTTTCTAAAAAGTGGGACATTTTTAAAAATCGGCGGGATGCAGGACAGTTTTCCCAAAAGCGGTACTGTCCCTCCAAAATTGGGACGTGTGGTCACTTTAGTCCAAGGGTCTCTCACCCATCTTCCCAAACCATCAACCTCTCGAGAGGACTTTTATCGGTTAATCTTTGGATTATGGTAACTTGGCGATTTTTTGGCGAAAATTTGCGGACTAGCCCTGCTATAGGAACCTGATAGTTTTTGTTTGGACGCCATTTTGTTTTCATGAAGTAAGGGCATGGTTTTTTTTTTTTTTTTTTTTTTTTACTCAATATTTTTTACCAACAATCTGCTAGCTGAATTATGCTTATGCTAGAACATTTATGGAACAAAAGTGCTTAATCATGACGAAGATTAGGTCCAAAATTGGGAAAAAGTTCAGAATCGCAAACTGCTTGCCGCGTTTTTAAGAATTGCACATACACGGTATCCATGTACACGTCGACCTATTTTCACTTAAAAAAAACATCCCAGAATTGCAAAAAATGACATTGCGCACACTCTTGACTTTATCCATGTACACTGCTAAAGTCCTAGTTAGTAACCTTTATCGCCTTACCAAAATGTCGCCAAACTACCTGTTACCATATTCCAAAGATTAGCCTTTTATCTTGTCACATATTTAGAGTGCCTCCATGCCACAGGGACAGTATGCATTTACAAACATTTATGCCTCCTCCTGTATTTGAACCCGGGCCCTTGGCATAGAATTCTGCGACGCTAATCTCTATGAGAAGAATTAAGGTATATCCTGACAAGAATCACAAAATCTTAATGTTGGATTTATGCACTACAAGTAATGAAATAAAAAAATGACAATTTTTTCCCCTTTAATTTATAAGGATTGCAATCACATTTTTATCACTTTCATTTACATTTATTAACGTTTAACTATTTTAGTTACCATTATTACTTACTTGTTGAAATCCCATACTGCTTCTTGAGATATAGTCATTGTCATGCAAATTTATGATTATTTTAAATCTTTTGTGCTTAAAATTATTTTAATCTTTTGTTTACCTTCATTCACTAATTTGCTGCAAGAGCATGGAAGTTCAGTCTTTCTTTAAATTCATGGAAAAGGAAAATCGGTACTATTTGGTTTTGAGGGTCATAAAAAATCACGAAACTCTTGTTGATGCCAGTGTTGCCAAAAATAATTGCGGCAACCCTAATGCAAGGAAGGAAATATAATAGTAAATAACAATCTAAGATTGATGTTTTAATTTTGATGAAAGGTTATTTATATAATACTTTTTTATTATTATAATTTATATAAAATGGCTAGATATAACTGAATGGAAGAATAAGAGTAAAAAACTATTCCAGATCATTATTATAATTTATATAAAAAAAGGCTAAACATGATTGAATGGATTCCTGCTTCGCTATTTCGCTACCGAGTTATCTATAAAAGCATAATTTCATCTCGTTGGTTGTTCAAACATAATTTTCTACAATGAACAATGCTTTCTCTTTGAAAAAATTATCGTAAAGTGCAGAATCGCCTACTTATTTGTTTGCCGCTTTTTACAAGGGTAAAAACAATTGGATTTTTGTCAATTTTCTTTTACTTTTTAAGTGAAAATAGGTCGATGTGTACATAGATAAAGTCAAGGGTGTGTGCAGTGCCATTTTTGTGCAATTCTGGGATTTTTTTTTAAAGTGAAAATAGGTCGATGTGTACATGGATACAGAGTATGTGCAATTCTTAAAAACACATCAAGCAGTGGGTGAATCTGCACGTTACCCAAATTCTATTGCAGCTTTTCATGCCATGGGCAATTCCCAAATTGTTCAATCCATAGGATATCAAAAAAGAATTTAAAAAATAAACTAGTATTTCAACGGCATCTTAAGAAATATAAAACTATATAAACTTACGTAATGTGAAATCAGTGCGTACGCTAGATTTGGCGCACTGTTTTAAATGGGTGCGTTTGTTAGATTTGGTGCTTTTGTGCATACATTTTCACTGCAATTTTTTTACGGTCCTCGAAACGGAATAGTACCGGGACACATTTTAGTGAAAATGTAGGAAAATTTGAATTTTTACACAAGTCTTCTAAAATAAAATTTATGATTGGTTATTTTTCCTTACCTTTCTGGAATCAACCTGCAAATTGTTTCATTAGGTGCATGTTTACATTCAAAATTAGGTGGATGGGATGAAAATTTCAAAATGGAGCTCTGTAACAGTTTGTGCATTATGCTCTCCATCCTCACAATTTTATTTTCACAATTAATACTCTTTGTTCGTTTGTGAAACACTCCATGTTGACTAAGTTGCAACAAAGCTGTGAATTGAACTGACAGTGATAAAGTGCCAGTGTCACCAAGTTAAGTCAAACATAAAATGGAAAAT